CAGCACAGCAAACATTTGCCAGCACATTTTTGATTTTTCGCCAAAATATTCTGGCCAAAACTTGGGAGAAAAACTCAGGATTGTCTATGGAAAGCAGATACTTCTCATGAAAATATTCATTTAGTCAAATCCCCAGGTTTCTACTGAAAGTCAGCTTCAGTGGAAAATGCTGACAAGCTCTATTATTGGCACAGCTTTAATTTTCCTTTGTCTGGAACAGACACGGAGAAGACAGCATCTGTCAAACGTACTCTTCAGACTTACGTTATTATTTAGCCTGGAGTATTGTTCAAGGACTTCAGGAAAGGTTTGAGCCATCACAGTGCTGGGTGCTGTGCATATCCACGAAAGATAGCCCCTTCCCTAGAGGGATTATAATTTAAGCACAAACCATGGAGAAGATAAACAGCTGGGGAGAGCACAAGGTAATTTTGGAGGGGTCTTGAGCAGCGTGATGAGCAAAGGGATGCTGTGCTTCCCCTTGCACCTGCTCTTCCCTCCAAGGCTTTGTGCTCGGCCAAAGCGCAGCTGTGCGGGCTCACAGCTCCCTCAGGAGAGGCAGAGTCTGCCCCAGCTCCAGAGGCAGCTGCAGAGGAGGGCAGAGATGGGTCCTGCTCTCCTCACCCAGCCTCCGGTTCAAAACATCCCTGGGGCAGAGGAGAAAGCCAAGCAAGTCATCCCTACAGTCCCCAGACACCACAACCCTGCTTGCCCCTTACCCTGGGCAGGAAGATGCTCTGCCACCCTCCCTCTTGCAGCCCACGTGTGCTGATCAATCGAGGCACAGAACCATAGAATAGTTTGGGTTGGAAGGGACCTTAAAACTCTTCTTGTTCCAACCTCCCTGCCATGGGCAGGGACACCTTCCACTAGGCCGTGTTGCTCCAGCTTTGTCCAATCCGACCTTAAACACTTCCAGGGATGGGGCAGCCACAGCTTCTCTGGGCAAACCTGTGCCAGGGCCTCCCCACCCTCACAGGGAAGAATTTCTTACCAATATCCAGTGTAAACTCACTCTCAAATTAAAGCCATTCCCTCTTGTCCTACCACTACACGCCCTTGTAAAACATCCCTCTCTTCCACCTATTTTAACTAGTCCACCTACTCTAACTTGCACTTTTTTGTTTGCCCACATCCTGCCCTCTGCCCTCACCCCCCACGTGCTCTGCATCACTTCATGTCTCGATCAAACCAACACGATTGCTTTAACTACAAGAGAGCAGTTAGAGAAGGATCTGTGCTGGTTTCAAATCGCTTCCAGAACTGGTCACCCCCTTCTGTAAGAGATTAAAAAGGAATCACTGAGAAAGGAGCGAGGCAGAAAGAGAGCACAAGAAAATAAATAAATAAAGGTATATAGTTACTTTTGGTTAGTCTCAATGTGCAGCCCCGTCCCAGGGCGCCTTGTTCTGTGCTCATTTGAAGTATTAGTCACTTTTTCCATTAGAAGCTGTTATTCTAGGGGGATTTATAATGTATCTGTAAAATTGTCTCCAGGCTTTGCTTGGCATCTGAGCTCTCAATCCACGGACAGAATGTAAAGAAACTACAGTTGTTTGATTTATTGGGACAGGGCACGGGGAGGGAGGGAGTTTTTCCATGCTCAGTGGAAATAAATTCACATAGTGCCTCCGGTGCACAATCACTTACTGCTCCAGAAAATACACCGTTTGGGTGCAATCTCACGCTGGCAGAGAGAAAAGAAGCAAATCAATGATTATTTAATACCTCCCTGCCTGAGACCCAGTCCTGGTTTGTGGTTTCTCACCACGAGCCACCCAGTCCACAGTCCTGCTGGGTGCGACAGTCTGTCACACCACTCAGGTTCGGAAATTCTGTCCTTGGCAAACCTTTTTCAGCCCTAATTTCTGTAAGGGATATTTCTTAGCTCACTACAGAGGCTCCCTGAGAGAGTCACGATTTTTTCCTGGGGAGGCCTAGGGCTCATTTAAGCTTTGCTCTTAATATACATCTGCCCAAAGCCTGGGAGGGATGAGAAAGGGCTGGTGACCTGCTGTAGGTAACACCAGCACCTGGATGGCAGAGGTGTTCAGGCAAAGTGAGAATGCAGAGGTGACAACCCCCTTGGGATTCACAAACTTTGGGAAAACACTCCATCACCTTGCTGACTCCACGTCATCCACGGCTGAGGATAAGCCTGTTTGCAGGGTGGCCCTGACCTGGGTCAACTTTCACCCAAAATTCTGCTGGAGGTAGGAGTGGACTGGAAAAAAAGGAAAGGATTAGGGACAGCAATGCACACCAGGACCAGATGGAGGGAGAGCCAGAACCTTCTTGCAGCTCCCCTGCAGGACTGATCGTCAAAGCACGAGCCTAACGTGGACGCTTGATGGAAACAATAACCTAAAATTGGAACACGGCAAATTATTTATTCAAACTCCAGCCTTCCCTCCCCCCTTGATTAGCAAACCGCTGGGGAGTCAGCCCTGATTTTCTTCAGACAGATGCATACGCTCTCCTCCTCCCTGCGCCACGAGGCTCAGCCCGTGGGGGGCTGAGGATCTCGTTGGTATTCGCATTGTGTAGCAGCTCCTTGAATTCACACGTTGTTCTGCTCTCTGGCTGGATCACAAACTTTTTCTTTGGGAACACGCACTGCAATGATGAATATGTTTGTTTTCTGCCTTTTTTTTCCCCCCCAGGAAAACATTTAGACTGCAGTGTGCAAACACTTCCCCACACACTCACTCAACTGCCTGCACCTAATAATAAAGCAATTTCTATGAAGACTTGCAACTCAAATCTCTAATTTGAGTTTTTGGAGGGGTTGTTTCGGGTTTTTGTTCAGCAATTATAAAAAGCCCCAGAGAAGCTCTGAGGAACAGACATGAGAACATGCAATGTTCAGGAGTGTGCTGCAGAACTGAAGTGGAAGATCCCAGCACTGAAATCCTCTCCCCATTTATGTCAGAGGCAAAACGTCCACAGAAGAGATAGGATTTAACCCCTGGAACTTCAGTAGTGGGAGACATGGAGCTTGGCAACAAACAGGGAAGACTGTGAAGGGTTCAAAGTATCAAATGAAGCCGAGCAGAGACATGAGAGGAACAAAGGAAGTTCACGTCATTATAATTTATTGATGATCTTGGCCTGATCACTTCAGTGTTTTGTCTCAGCAGAGCCCACCCTGAGCAGCAGCGAGTCCTGCACGTCACTCGGCTGTACGGATGTGGGAGTGATGTGATGATTTACAGACAAACTTTGCTTAATAAAATAATAAAGTAAATAAAAAAGCACCGTGCTGGATCTCGCCCTCACCCAAGCACTTGCTGGGAACTGGCCAGGATCTCCTGACCTCACCCCCACCGAAGTGCAGCTCCAGAAATTCCCTCACCATAGTTCACATTTTTCCAGCTCTACCAATTCACCCAGCAAGTGCCATGGGAAATTGCTAGGGCTAAGGCATCCAAACTTGCTTAAGAATGAGCCAAGCTGATTCTTTTCTTCAAGGAGGAGGGTCTTAAGGAAAATAAAATGCTGGGGGTTCTTTGTCCCTGTATCTTGGATACAGGAAAACTCCCACGCTTGTCAGAAATCAGAACAGCACCAGCAGCTCCTGGCTTCTTCTCTTTTTTATTTTTATTTTTTTTACCCCAGTGTGTTGAGTGTGTGCCTTAAAGCAGGATGACACAGTGATGGGTTTAAGAGACAGTGAGTGTTGAGATGCCAATTTCTAATGTAATACAGGGTACAGCTTCTTTCTTCTGTGATCACGGGTGAAAAATCAAAAGAAATAATCCAGGAGACTAAACACACTCCCCAGCCATTCAGCTCGCTCATAAATATGCCAAGCAAGACGCTTTGTGCAAGAAAACCCCACCACTTCCATCCTGCATTTTGTTTAACTACGAGTCAAATCTTCCACCCGCATCTTCCGATTGTGCCATTCAGAGTTCACCGGGGTGCATTCCCACCCTCTTCCCCTTCAGTTTGAGGCTGATGGTTATCATTTCAAAACTAGCAGGTTCCCAGTTTTCCTCTCCCACCTTCAGCCCAGTGCCGTCCCCGCGCAGAAAACGCTGCGCTGTCAGAGTACCCAACTCCAAAACAAAGAGTTTTAACCAGACTCACCGCCTTGGCACCAGCAAACTATTCAACAGAACTTCGCAGGAAGTCTGCCCTTTCCTGCACGCTGCTAATGCTCCAAAATACAGCAAATTCGGGAGAAGTAAATGAAATTAAATACCTAGCTGCTGTCATTTCCTTTTTAAGGCTGGAGGAGCCCTGGAGCCCATTAGCTATTGACAAGAAGGGGACCCTCCAGATCCAGGCTGGATGCGCAGACACTCAGGGAACAACCAGACCTTTGTTTATCATCTATGCACATGTCAGGAGGAGCAGGAACCCCTGCCCACCAGGGACCGACCCGTGCCCACCAGGGTCCACACTCTCCGCACACTGAGAAGTTTATTCCTACATAAATATATGTATATTAATAAGCACATTTTATCCAAGCACTTCATCCCGGCGGAGTTTGAAAGAATTCCTTCCAAACCAGCACAAACCCCAGCAGGGTGGGATGCAGGCGTGCAGGGGGGGACGCGGGTGGACCTTTTCTTGCAGCTGGACATGAAAGAGGCTGAAGGTACCGGTGGGTTTTGGCACGTATGAAGTTTGGTTTGGTTTGCAACATCGCCACCGAGGCGTCGGGACTCCTCTCACAGAGCGATTTTCTTTTTTTTTGTTTTCAGTTGTATTTTATAAGCACAAACTTATTAATTGAAAACTACTTTTTTTTTTCCTTTTTCCTTTTTTTTTTTTATGAGTTTTAGGCACCAGTAAATCACCCCGGCGCAGCAAAGCGTCCCCGGAGCGCACCCCGACATCCCTCCTCCGAGCCGAAGTTGCGGAGGGAGCGGAGCCCTGCCCGGGGCAGCACCGAGACCCTGGAGGGGGGCTTTTGTTCCCGGCTCCGTCCCGGGGAGCCGAACCCCCCGTTCTCCGCCGCGTCCCCCCGAACCCCGAGCGCCTCCACTTACCAGCTGCAAAGTGCAGAGGAAGATGAGGGTGCAGCGGCCGGTGCAGCATCCCATGGTCCCCGAGCGGCGGGGGCAGGTCAGGGGCAGCCCGGTGGCCGCGGCCCCGCCGCCGCCCTGGGGCTCTGGGCTGCCCGGTCCGGCAGCGAGGCGGGCACGGAGGTCGGTCTGTCTGTCGGTCGGTCGGTCGGTCGGTCGGTCGGTCGGTCGGTGTCTGCTGCCGGAGCCCCTCCGGGAGCCGGGGTGGAGGCAAGTGGGGCCACAGCTTAAAAGGGCAACGCTCCGGCGGCGCTGCCGTCCCGGAGGCTGGGCGGGCTGGCGGGGCGGGGGCTGCCGCCGCCGCCGGGATGCGCCCCCCGGGCCCCCGCAGGCGCGGTGGGATGCTCCGGTCCCGGCACCCGGCCCTCCCCCGGGAGGCGGGAGCAGGTCCTGTTCCCCCGGACAGGGCGGACCCTCGTTTTCCCTTTGGTGGGACGCGGTGCGTGTCTGTGCCGGGGCAGAGCGCTGTGCTGGCCAGGCAAGGTGTGTGTACAGGACACACGGCTTATAGAGCTCCTCTCCTCTTTCCACAAGTGCCCATCACCTTCCTCCGCAGGCAGGTGCTGGTATGTTAACCCTGAATATTAGGAAGAGTAGAATTAACCTAAAATACAATGGTTCTTCCCATAAAATTTGTCAGCGAGAGTGCACATGGAAGACAAACTCAGAAAGGGGGATAAGACAAGGAATTCTTGAAAAATGCACATTTGTGGGTATTTTGAAGTATATATGGAAGCTTGGGAATGAATCCCAGTAGCAGAGGGATGTAGGAGAACATCTCTCTGCTTCCAAGAAGAGTTTCTACCGAAGCACCATCTACACACCACTTGCTGTACCCTGCATCTGCAGAACAGCGAGTCAGTCTAATTGTGAACAGTAGAGCAAATCCACAATCACACAACCCCCTCCTTTACACGCCTGAGTCCTTCCCATTGTCTTCCCTCCTGAAGGAGAAGCAGGATCCAGAAGACATGGATCATGCCAGCCCTCCCTGCCACACACGTTCCTGGCTGGCCCGAGGAGCAGGTCACACACCACACATTGTGATTGGGACAGACTTGTTGCTAAGCTCAGCACAACAGGATAAGAAGCTTTGGGAGAGCCTCATCTCGTGACGAGGTTGTGTCTTTGCAATCTCCGGTGGCTCCAGTGTCTGCATGACAGTTTGTTCTGTCACCTCTGGCTGCTCCTTCTTCCTCTGAAGCACGTCAGGGTTTTCCTTCTGCCTCCAAAGCAGTGTGTGACTTCTCACCATCAGTGACCAGCTCCACTTTCTGTTTAAATAGGCACTGCCCACTGCTTATTGCAGTGGGGTGAGGAGATGGCAGCTGAAATCATAAAAGCTATATCATTTTACTCAAGGAGAGCGTTGCCTGACTATATCCTAAGGAAGGAGGATTAGTCCTCCAGTGCTAGGAATGTTTAAAACCTTATATTTGCAACATTATTGTTATTCACATCAGCCACAGGGAGAAACAGAACAAACAAACAAACGTACTCTGAATACCTGAGATTAGGAGGCAGACTCTGAATTGATCACAAATCCTACTGGTTTTAAATGGTAAAATATATTGATATGTGACCTGTGCACTGTGCATAATCAAGGCATCAACTAATGCAGTCAGATACAATAAAACACATTTTATTATAGGTGAAAGAAAAACACCCGGAGAAGAAACCAATTTATTTCACCAGGAAAACTGTGGACTGAAGAAGCTTTAGCAGTATTTGTATTCCTAGGAATGTGGATTTTGGATGGAAAAGACAGTGGAACAAAGATCAGTTTATTTTTTAATGAATGCAGATAAAACATTCCTTACAAACTGCACAGGGAGGTCTCACTCAGCACCGTAGGGTCAGACAACCTGACATCAGAATTAAAACAGGAGCTCAAGCTGGCTGAAAGCAGGCTGGGGTTGGGCTGGTTTTGTTATGTGCTCTGGAAACTGCTGGGAACAGCATGGGAAAGGCTGGGATACAGCCATGCAGGTTAGTACCTGGCCTTTGTGCCAGTTCTTAAGGTTTTCTGCATCTCTTGTTCTGCCTCCCGCTTCTAAAAACCTCCCGTAGGCATTGTGATTTTCCAGCTCAGTTGTACTGCAAAGGAGACATGGTGTGAAACAGCAAAAGGTATTGCTGCTGAAATGATAAGTTTGACTTAAACAGGATTTTTTCCACCTGCACTTTTATCTTAATAAGCCATGCAGGAAGCAACTACGTGTTGGCTGGGACTCCACACGCATCTGAAGGAAAACACACTGACTGTCCTTACATTTTTAAGAGGAGTGAAACCACAGGAATATCGCAACCTGTATTTCAAAGAGAGACTTAAAACTGCCAGAGCCTGATCTTATAATCTTCATTCGTATGATTTCTTATCTGTGTTGGTGTAGCAGGTGGCCTGCACACAAAGGGGATCCACCTTGAAGCATCCAAGCAGCTTCACTGGTTTCAGTGGGGCTACTCACATGTTAAAATTTGGACACTTGCTTCTACTGTGGTCTCCCAACTCTTTTGATTATGGAACCAGTGGAGGTGCATTGAGATTGAATCTCCTGACAACAGATTTGGTTTTTTGATGACTCTCTACAGGCTGACTAAAAAGTCTCCTGCAGACCACCGGAAAATCCTTTCTTTCCATCAGATCAAAAATTAACTTACCTGAATTTGGGCCTAAGTGAATAAAACATGTAGAACTTAGATGATAATTTGTTTAATTAGCAAGTGGGTTAACAAGGCACCATGGAATGAGGCAGCCATCCCTGATGGGCAGTATATCACCAGTGAGACCCACTGTGCCACTATGCAGTGGCACTTGGCATGGCCACAGCAGCTGCCAGCATCTCCTAAAAATTGTGTGAAGTCCTGACCATCTGAATTCATGCACGAGTGCTGCAGGACCACACATCTACCCTGAAAGTTTAATTCATAAAACCCACTACAGCTTTAACTTAGCAAAAATAGAGAAAAAGCCAAAATTGCTCACTGTCTTGAATTTTTTATTGCCTGGAGTGTAACCTCTCCCTCAGCTTTTGATGGATGAAATGTTGTTTCAAGAGTTCAGTCTGAATGTCAAGAAGGTTTTCTCCTGATTAAGGGCTTCTGGATGGGTTCTGAGGAATTCTTATCAGGGATATTGATGCACAGGGATATGTGTGCACAGGGATATGTGTACACAGAGTAAGGCAATTGCAGGCAGTTCCATCCCTTGCCATCACAAGAGGACCAAGGAAAGGGCATTGTTGTTGCATGGATCCAGCTGCACTGTTAGGGGTGATTAACCTTAGACAACTGGACCTTGTTATCACTTGTTTCTGGCCAATTACATCGAAATTACTTTGAGAAGTCCCAGGTTTACTTTAGGACAAATCAAGAAACAAAGTTAGCAAGCTTGAAACAAATCAGCAGTATCTTGCCACGCTTTTTCTCTCATATCTGCAGCCTCCTTGCTCTGACAGATCAAGATGAGCAATAGAGGCTTAAAAGTATTAGCTGGGGACATGTCTCTTCACAGCCCAAACCCTGTGATTGTCACAGCTGCTGAAAGCTATAGATGGTCTTACATCCCACAGTGCCATGGGGTGCATTATTCCACTCAGTTCATTTACATCCACCTCCTCTCCATTTTAATAATGTCACCTGGTGCCTTTACAGATGTCTGATCAAACACAGCCTTTCCATGCCACATCCAAAAGGCAAAGTGTGCCTGTCCCAGTGCCCTAGGAGCTCATCAGCCAGCCCTCTTCCCTCCTCCAGGGCAGACAGCAGCCTTCCCAAGATGGTCTGTCACATCCTATTTCTCTGCCACAATCAGAAGTAAAGCCCACTGCCAGCTGCCTGAGTGATGCTGGCTGTGCACTGAGCAGAGGATTTCCTGGGGACACATTCAAAATGATCCACTGGAAAGTCTTCACGTAAGAGGCAGGTGAGCTGTGAAGCTTCCAGCCACAGGACACTGTGGATGCTTAAAATGTGTGTGGGTACAAATGGATTAGGACAAATCATCTTCCTGGGTGGGAGGAGGAAAGGGCACTAGGCTCTGCCCTGTCTCCTCAAGAGTAATGTTGGATGCAGTGAGAGGATCTATCGGCTGGTGACCCGAAGTTGCTGCCTCTCACCTTGGCAGCCAAGTCTGCTATAAGAATTGGACTCTGTGACAGTCCCATGTGTCTTACTGAAGACTTCTTACATAGAAAAAGGTTACTGAACCATCTACAGAGAGATTATGAAAAAAAAAAAACCACCAACAAAACCACAAGGACTTTTGACCTTCTAATTTTAAATTTGTAATTTTTTCAACTGCCATTACCCTGGGCTAATAACTAGAGCACTGTTACAGAGCTCAGCTGCTCTGAGACTGAAACCAGCTGAACCCAAGACTACTACAGTAGAAGACCCAAGAGAGGTGGCACTAGCCCAGACATGTCCTTCTTCTCTCCAAAGGGACCAGAGAGGCAGAGAAACCCAAACTGATCAGCACCACAGTGACACACTCTCATCAGGCCATGGCCAAAGGAACCACACTCTGCTTTTCCCCTTCTTTTGCAGCCTGGTGAATTCATTGCTGACAAAAAACAGCCCAGTGGCAGCAAAGCACACCATTTCAAAAATTGTTCTCATCACCACACAAGAAAGGAAAAATTCTCAATGACTTTTACGCTTTGAAATGGGTTCCCAGCAGCCCAGGGCAATCTGTAAAATTTATCAGAGCTGGTGTGTGAAATATGTCATTTTCTCTCTGATCCCTGTGAAGTCTTGGATGTTGGGGGGAGGCAGCTCCTAACCAGACTTTTCAGCATTTCTACACCACCATCATCTGCATTTCACATTTGTAATTCCCTAATATTAACTTGCTCAGCTGCACAACAAATTCTCATCACTCTTTGATGGGCAAGTGGAGGATGGCAGAGGTGGAAGGCAGATTCACCAAGCTCTCTGGTACCTCAGAATAACAGCAAAGTGAACAATTTGTCCATATCTAGCTGACACAGCTGCCTTGTTTGTGTGATCAAGGGCTTGTAGGAAGGAAACATGACTGGCATCGTTCCTCCCCTGGATCAAACACATCAGCACCCATTAACTGCTACAGTGGAGTCAAGGTTCAAATTCACACTTTTACAGCTTTTCTAAGATGCTTTGACAATTCTGCCATAACAGCCCACGAGCAGCCCTTCAAATAACTCTTTTTCTATTTCTTCGTGACTATAAAGAAAAAACATCAAGACAGAAACACCCTGGAAGCTGCCAGCATTTTTGTTAGTCCGAGGGGG